GTCAAGTGGTTAGATGAAGGGGATGAGGTGGATGGGTGTAATGTCTCAGTAGGGTGGGTGTGATAAGTGATTAGGTGAAGGGGATGAGGTGGATGGGTGTGATGTCTGAGTAGGTTAGGTGTATTGTCTGAGTAGTGTGGGTGTGACATGGGTCAAGTGGTTAGGTGAAGGGGATGAGGTGGATGGGTGTGATGGATGAGTAGGGTGGGTGTGATGTGGGTCAAGTGGTTAGGTGAAAGGGATGAGGTGGATGGGTGTGATGTCTGGGTAGGTGAGGAGGGTGAGTGTGATGTGGGTCAAGTGGTTAGGTAAAGGGATGAGGTGGATGGGTGTGATGTCTCAGTAGGGTAAGTGTGATGTGGGTCAAGTGGTTAGGTGAAAGGGATGAGGTAGATGGGTGTGATGTCAGAGTAGGGTGAGTTTGATGTGGATCTGAGATGGAAAAACAATACACCCAAATGGATTTGGTCAACTGCATAAAATATGGTGATTTTTTTAAAAAGTGAGAAGAAACTAAATCAGTAAATACTGCATAATTGGTGTCTGTACCTTCCAGTCGAGTAGCGGTTCTTTCACAAACACATCCATAGTGCTGAGAAGCAGTTCGTGATTCTCTCGCAGGGCTCTTAGAGTATGGATCATCGTGCTGCGCAACAAGCCACTTTCTTTCAACGGCAAGAGAAAGTTCACAATTTGACGTGTTAGACGGAATGGCATAAGCTCAGGAATGARTAGGAACTGAGAAGAAATTCAGAAAATACTTTTTTCACTTTGAAAGTAATAAATTAATAAATTATTAAAAAATCAAATATTATTTTTAAAAAATATTAAAAATAATTAGTTATTTAAAATTATTGTCACTATTGTTATTTATTAAAAGAAAGCATTTAGTGTGYATTTTTCTACTTTTTTTTTCTATTGCAAATGGCTGTAAAAAAATTGTAAAAAATGATATTTAAAAAATCCCTATAAATAAAAAAAACACGTTTCAGTTTAATTACTTTGATTGAGAGGTGTATGATAGGAATTTAGAAAAAAAATTCAAGGGTACAAAAAGGGTACAATGTTATGGCTAAGAGGTTTTAAAAGAGACCTCTTTAGCTTAGGAGTAAAGTTTTTCCATCTCAAACAACATATTCCCTAGAGTATCATTTCTTTGTTTAACAGTTGCACAAGAGAAGACACATGAGTATGGATACAACTCATACCAATAATTTTTTTTTCAAGAGAATGACACAGTCACATGTTCTGAAAATATGGGAAAACATTAAGCCCAAGGTAAAGAGGTCTATTTTTTAAAATGCTAATAAAAGCTTCTAGGTGGATAAACAAAGGAGCTAACAGTACACTTGAGCAACCCCTCCCCCCATAGATGATTTTTGGTGGTAGTGGAGGGATAGGGGGTAGGATTGTTCACCTGTGTAGCAGAACCAAAAGCATGACCAAAGTCAATGCCAACCATTCCTCCAGTCTTAATGTCCACCATAAAGTTTGACAAGTGTCGATCACCGATCCCAATCAGGTATTGACAGATACATAAACATGCATGCATACGGGCGAAGTGGGAACGAAGCATCAAGTAGGCTTCTGGTGATGCTGACAACTGCTCAAAGGCTCGCCTGCCAGAAAAAAATAAAATCAGTTTCTCAAATATAAAGATTTGAGACAATAAAAAGAATTATGTACCTTAATAAATCCCATGGCACGAATGCTTGTTTCTCGTGGAAGTCAAATTCTACTTCTGTTCGACTTGCTTTACTAAAAAACAACAACAACAACAACATAGCCAGCATTCCAAAGTTGATAGGAACAATGGGTCGAATTGGTATTGAAGTGCATTTTTGCTTTAGGGGTCATTTTTCCAGGATGGCATTTATTTTGTCACCTAAAGCGGTCCCACAATGCACTGCAATGCCAACTCAATCCTTTTCTCCTCAACCTTAGAATAATTAATAAAGATTTCTCTTCCATTCTCTTACTGACCTGTACATAACATGGTATTTAGAGTTATCATCAACATTTGCATACTTTCTCAGCCACCTGTCATGCAACTCACGTGGTTTATCACTGCAAAATATTATAGTTTTTTTGGTGAATAAAATAAAACTATTTGTCTTCTTTGGTCATCCTGCTGCAAGTGGAGGAAGAGGGAACCTGAGAATGACTTCCTCTCTTATATGATCACAGTCCTTTTCATTCATCTTTCAGAATGTGCACAGGTATCCCAATACAAGGGAGAGGCACATGCTGAATGGGGTGTATTATCAATTTGATACTCACGTGACTCTCTGTTGTCTTTCTCCAGGTGTCATCGCTTGTGATATAAATTCTTTTAGTGGTCTTGTGTTGGTCACCCATTCAATCAAACCCACTCTTAAAATTAAAGAAAAAAGAAAAGAAAAGATAATATGAATGAAAGAAGAAGAAGAAGAAAAAGAAATTACATAGTTTCAAGTTCTCTGTTGCTTAGGGTTAGCCTTAATGTACCTCTGTGAAGGTCTGTGGTATTTTAAAGTGTTTGTATTTTGATGAAGTTGTGCATTCTTTACTTTACCATTGGCATTTGTGAATATTTAGACACTGGTACGAGACTAACCCTGAGTATGAGTCTGTTATTAAGAAACACAGCCGTATTTTGTATGAATTTTAAAATGGTTTATTTAGTAGCAGTTAAAAGGCATGTCCTTACCGAGGAGTCATGGGTACAACTTGGTAGGTCCTCAAATGAAGATTACGTTGTTTGCAGGCTGGGTCAGCGGCTAGTATGTCGTTCATTAGACAGAAGAGCTGAGAAGAAATGAAAACATGAAGTCAGAAATACTTGTCAAATTGTTTCATCATCGGACAAGCAGTTAGTCAATCAATTGACTCATGTCATCATCCAACTGTTCATTCATTCCATTCCATCTCTTCAATCCCTTTTTATTCATCTATTCATCTCATCCAGTCCTATCTCCATTTATCCCACTCTCCACTCATCCTATTTCATCTCTTTGATCCAATCCCATCCCTTTATCCATCTATCTTATTCTATCTATCCAATAATCTCACTCATTGATCCATACATCCCCTCCATCCATTCATCCCATCTATCCATTCTTCCATTTTCCATCCATTTATTTCAGCCATTTCATTATTTACCTGCTCAATTCGCTGATCCAATCTCAAGTCCTCTCCTCCCTTCACTAGGAACATGTAATCTTTCTCATCATCACCACGGATTGTGAGTCGCTTTGGTTTGCGAATTGATGTCATCACGAGAACCTGGGTAAGATAAGATAAAACAGTCATAATAAACAAGGGAGAGGTGTTATTAAATGGGAACAATAATTGTTTGTACCTATTTATTGTGGAAACAAAATAAGAAGAAAAAAGATAAAAGAAGAGAAAAGAAAGAGCGTAAAGAAAATAGAAGAAAGAAAGAACTCAATATAGCAAGCAAGCAAGCAAGCAAGTAAGCAAGCAAGCAAGCAAGTAAGCAAGTAAGCAAGAGAATACTGTAATAATAATTTTAGAGATACCCTTTCATCGAAGCCAGCAATCTTAGCATGATACTCTGTCAGGGGTTTTCCACGTCCAGTGTACTGGCCTAAGTATAAGAATAATAAGTGTTAATCATGGAATCAGGATTTTTAATCATCTTATTTAGTTCTTATGAGGTACTTTACCAGGAATTTCAAGCCTTTGAGTGTAATTACTTGACTGGAAACTCAAGAGCCAAGGCGAGTACTCCTTCAAGTTACCAGGTGCATTTTCCGGCTTGTACTTCATACGGTTTATAAAACCTTTGACTTTATCATTAAAATCCTAGAGTAAATTGATAAAAAAAGTTAAACCAAATATAATGAAATTATAGGAGCCAGTACTGTYGTCGTAGCTACCATGGCAACACTAGCATCACCATGGTTACCAAGCTATTACCATAATAATCACTGGYGTCTTGTTATGTACCTTCAAGCTTATGGTTTTCAACTTGCTTCCATCCTGGCCAAACCCTTTTTTAACATCTGCTGCATATTTCTAGAAATGATCATTTAAACTAGTTCATCACTCATTAGGCTCAGGTTTGTCTTTATTAGCACCATCATAATCAATGTCACCACCATCATTATTATCATCATCATCATTGTCATTGTCATCTCGACCATCATCACTATTGTCATTGACATTGTTGTCATTGTCATTGTCGTCATCATCATCACCACCATCATCATCACCATCACTTAATCATCACTATCCCTATAATCATCAACATCATCATCATCATCATCATCTTCGATATCATTATCATCATTATCATCATCACCATTACCAGCATGATAACCAAACAAAATGCTGAGAACAGTATATTACATAACCTCCCATATCTCTACGGTACTTTACGCACATGTGCAAATCTTCTTCTGTATGTTCCCATCTCTTGTCCTCTTTTCTTGAGACTCCTATCTTTGGTCCTTTCATCACCAAACAGATTTTTCAACATTYCCATGTAGCACTGTTCTGCTGCAGCAATATTTTTGTCTTCAATGAGTGGCCTCATGTTTTTACTCCAATCCTGTGAAAAGCAAAAGTTTTAAATAGAATTGAGCAGTTTGACTCATTGGTTTAAGATGAGTCTCTGTTGCCTGTAGGTGGTTTACCATCAGCTTCGAGAGAACGAAATTCAAGGGAGGATCCAGGGGTGGTAAGAGGGGTAACTAGTCACCCCCCTTTTGCTTAAATTTCTCCACCCTTTTCCTGGTAGAACCTTTATTATATTCACCCCTTTTTAAAATTCCTGGATCTGCCCCTCCCTGATGCAAACATGTTGCATGATATAACATTACATCACCACCATGTTGGATGATGTTATAAACTACAAGACTTTCATGTTAGACGCTATAGCAAAAGACTATATAATAATTGGATACCAACCTCAAAGGCTAACTYTGGGTTTTGCATCTGTTCTAACGAGGCAATAAAATCATTGAGAAGAGGGATTTCCAGTATAGCATGAAGTCTGAAATTTTGAAAGTCATAAGGATAAAAAACAAGACATTAGCAAGATGATGAATTCTGCAAGGATATGAGTTACKTGAAGCTACCAAAGTGCAAATAAGATTGTACTTTGGGTTTTGTGATTTCAAGTATCATTTCGATTTTATCATATTTCAGTTTTATCGATTTTTATTTATTTCTTCTTAAGTAAGTTTTAGAGACATTTTGAAGATGACATCTATTTTGTCGCCTAAAACAATCCTGCAAGGCGCTGCAATGCAATTATTTGATTGCATGTTATGTCATAGCGGCCATGTTGCTGCCATTTAACAAAAGATTTCTCATTAGTTTCCATTTTCAATGGCACCACAATGGCCGCCATGGTTTTTTCTTTTGACTCTCTTGGGAATGTTTGCAACTCATCAATTGACCCAGATTATCCTCAACCCTGGAATGGACAACAGTGTTCAAAGGAATGACAACATGAACGGCATGACAACAAAATGACAACATGTTAGAAAAGGTGAAACACTCCAAAGTAAAAGTTCCTGATTTAARACAAAACAAGCTCTGCGTTACCTGTCCACAGCCTCTTTGTTAGTTTTGCCAGTTTTAGAATTATCAAAGACAAACTGCTYGCTGCTGATCTTGAATGGATAGCAAAGAGCCTGGAAGAAAATAATCATAAATGTTCAGGACATAAAGACTTCTTTTCTGGGATAGTGAACATGGTGAATTGTGGTTCACCTTATGAGAACATCTTTGGTCAATCATGCCTTATATGGTGTTATCTTTACCCAAGCTAGACCACAATGCACCTTGTTYGTCGATTTTATAAAAGGTCTACAGTCGACCAAGGTTGTTGCGAGTTAAATGTATTGGTTACCTGTGGATATTTGGTGGCTATCTCATTCAAGATCCCATGCACAGCTCGACCTTCCTTCTTGTCCATCAAGGCAACCATTTGATTGATCCAGCCAATGAACATCCAGCATGGAACAACAGATGCCTGCCAATCAACCAAGAAATCAATATGCAATCTTTTCTATGTATGGATGTTTGTTAGACTGCATATTTTGTTTGCTTGCTTGCCTGCTTGCCTCTCTTTCCCTCAATCCCTCCATACTTTCTGTCTGTGTGTCTGTCTGTCCCTCTTTTCTTTCTGCCTGTGTCTCTGTCCATCCATCCATCCTTCCTTCCTTCCTTTCTGCTTGTTTGTTTATTGGTCAGTTGATCTGTCTGTCTGTCTGCCTGTTTGTCTGTCTGCCTGTTTGTCTATCTGTCTACAGGTTTATAGGATTGATGTATATTACATACTTTTTTAATAAAAGCATCAAGAGTATCTGGATAAAGCTCTACTAGCTGTAGGAGCCTAGGGAATCTTTGTCGTGCCTCCTCTGAACAATATGTCATCGCCTTCAGGACATACCGTACCACAATACCTGGRAAAAGCTGTTGAAACAAGAATAACAAAATAAATGAAAGTAATAAAAAACCATCTGGAAAAAAATCTCAGAGAATTTTTCCAACTACCTTCATGTCGATTTCTGGTGCACTGTTTGCATCTGCACAAAAACAGAAATATATGTCACATGACTTATCGCGCATGATATTCATGTCACGTGACCTAGAGAATACATGTGACTATCATCTGTTCAAGTGGCTTAAAGCCCTGAGTAACTTACCATTTTCTTTCTTTCGTAAAGCAGAATCACAGAATTTCACCATTGCCATCATGGCTTCTATCATGGCAAAACTGAGCAATAGAAGGCATAATATTGAACAGGAGCTAGTGAATGTGCTATTTTTAGATGTGAAATTATTGGGCATAATGGTGTGGCAGGTGTACACTACCATTTCAAATCTCGGGTCTCTGGTTCGATTCCTTGAATTGCTATCACATGAGTAGGTTTTGTTGGAGGTCTCTCCCTTGATTTGAGGATTTTAAACAAAGTTCTC